TCCAGTACTTTGGCCATCTCATGAGAAGAGAAGACTCCTTGGAAAAGACCTTGATGTTAGGAAAGTGTGAAGGCAAGAGGAGAAGGGGACGAGAGAGGATGAGACGGTTGGACAGTGTCATCAAAGCTACCAGTATGAATTTGACACAACTCCAGGAGGCAGTGGAAGATAGGGGGGCCTGGCGTGCTCTGGTCCATGGGGTCACGAAGAGTCGGATACGACTAAACGATGATTAGATTTACTGCTCCTTTCCCCCATCGTTACTCAGGCAGTGGGTCATCATAGTGCCAAACAGGGCAGAGGGGCCCTGTTGGATCATTTCACCATGGTGAACAATGACCCAATGGCTGGTGCGCTACACCTGCCTTGTGGTGGTCCAGAGGGTGCCAGACCCCAGGCATCTATCATCCACCTCCCTCTGCCAACTTCTGGAGAGGCACCACCTGAGGCTTCTGTCTCGGGAAGGCTTTTTGTCACCATCATTTGTGGGGAGGAAGACAGCAGCCCCAGGGAGAGAAGTGGGGAGTCAGAAGGAGGCACCTCCTTCCAAAAGGACAGCCGCAGGGATTGCTAGGACTGGGAGCATGAGCATTCTGTTTATGCTGGACTGCCTCAATGTCCCTGCCAAACATTATCCTCTGAACCCGGGGGGGGGGGGGGGAGAAGAAGTAACCTGCTCTTCCAAATGCCTCTGTGCCTGGAGGCAAACCCTACCTCAATGTCAAATGCCTCTGTGCCTGGCGAACTATCACAGAATCTTAGGGTCATGAAATTGGAGGGCCCTATAAAGTCGACAAGTCTAACCCCATGCTCAAGGTAAGAATATTCATTCATTCAGTCATTCATCCATTCATTCAATTTCTATCCCATTCCCATTAGTGTCGTAGAACTAGAGTGGTCCTTTGGGCCAAATAGGCGGGGTATAAATCAACTAAACTAAACTAAACTAAACTACTCTGGGCAGATTACAATCTCATAAAAAAGAAAACACAAATGAAAATAGAAATATTAAAACTGGTAAGAAAAATCCTTTAAAAAAATGAAAGAAAAAGAAAACCAGATGGCACTGATTAATCTAAGAGCAGATGGAAGAAAAGAGGGGAGGGAAGAGGAAGAGGGAAGATGAAGAGAAGGGGGGGAAGAAAGGAGGTCAGCTCGGGTTGGTGTGGAAAGCCTCCCTGAAAAACAATATCTTAAATTGCTTCTTAAAAGTCCACAGGGAGGGAAAAATCAAAGGATATCTGACAGGTGTTTGTCTAAATTAAGATGAAGAGAAGGGGGGGGGGAGAAAGGGGGGCAGCGCGGGTTGGGGTGGAAAGCCTCCCTGAAAAACAATATCTTAAATTGCTTCTTAAAAGTCCACGTGTGTGTATGTGTTTAGTCGTTAAAAGTCCACAGGGAGGGAAAAATCAAAGGATATCTGACAGGTGTTTGTCTAAATTTCTCTTGAATGCCTCCAGTGTTGGAGCACTCACCACCTCTCAAGGTAAATTATTCCATGGCTGTACTGCTCTAACGGTTAGGAAGTTTTTCCTAATACTCAACCGAAATCTGGCTTCCTGTAACTTGAGACCATTGTTGCATGTTCTGTACTCTGGGATGAACGAGAACAGATCCTGCCCCTCCTCTGTATGACAGCTTTTCAAATATTTGAAAAGTGCCATCATATCACCCCTCAGTCTTCTTTCTCAAGGCTAATCATGGCCAGTTCTTTCAGTCTTTCCTCACAAGGCTTGGTTTGCAGCCCCCTGATCATCCTTGTTGCTCTCTTCTACACTTGTTCCAATTTGTTAGCATTCTTCTTGAAGTGAGGTGACCAGAACTGGACACAATACTCAAGATGAGGCCTAACCAGTGCTGAACAGAGAGGGATTTGGAGACTATACTTCCGTTAATTCAGCCTAAAATATCATTTACCTTTTTTGTAGCCACATCACACTGGTGACTCATGTCAGCTTGTGATCTATGACGATTCCAAGGTTCTTCTTGATTGTAATATTTCTGAGCCAGGTATCTCCTATTTTGTAACTGTGTGGTTTCTTTTTCCTAGGTGCAGTGCTTTCCACTTATCCCTGCTGAATTTAATTCTGTTGTTTTCAGCCCAATGCTCAAGCCTATCCAGATCATTTTGGATTTGTTTCTGTCTTCCTGGGTATTAGCTAGTCCACTCAATTTTGTGTCATCCACAAATCTGATTCCATGCAACCCCTGATCCAGGTCATTAATAAACATGTTAAAAATAAAAAGAGCACGAGACCTAATACTGGGGTACCTCACTTGTTACTTCCACCCAGTATGAATAGGAGCCATTAATCACCACCCTTTGAGTATGATTCTGTAGCCAACTCTGTATTCACCTGACAGTTGTTCAATCCAGCCCACAACTAGTTAGTTTGCTAATCAGAATACCATGGGACAGTTTGTCAAAAGCTTTGCTCAAGTCAAGATGTATTTTGTCTACTGCATTCCCTCTGTCTCTCAGGGAGGCTACCTGATCAAAAAAATCAAATCAGGTTAGTCTGGCAAGATTCGTTCTTGACAAATTTGTGTTGGCTTCTAGTTATTACTGCATTGTTTTCTAGGTACTTGCGTAATAATCTGTTCCACAACACTAAATAATGTCTAACACCTCTGTACCTGAATAGAAACCCTACCTCAATGCCAAATGCCTCTGTGCCAGGTGAAAAATCAAAGTACGTCTAACGCCTCTGTATCTGGAGGCAATCCCTCCCTCAATGCTATTCTGTGCCTCGGTGCAAAACATAATTCCGTCTATGGCAGCCAGCCTCAATTTCCCTGCTATTCATTCCTCTAACCCAGGGGGTAGAAGAAGAAACCTGGTCTTCCAAACACCTCTGTGCTTTGACTGGAGGCAAAGCAAACTACTTTAATGCTATCCATGTCTGGTGGCAAACTAAACTACATCTAACACCTCCATGCCTCGAGGCAAACCAGACTACCTCAATGCCATCCACCTCTGTGCCTGGTGGCAAACTAGAGTACATCTCTTCCAACCATCTCTGTGCCTCATGGTGAATTATGCCAGCTGCCTCTGTCACTTTCCTAGGGGACCCCACTTTGTGGGTGTATAAATTGAACATCCTACACCCAAACTTCACCAAACTTGCGGGTTTTATAGAGAAGAATCAGAGGAAGATTCCCTGCAGAGTTGCTGTTTCTAGGCACCTGAGAGGGCACTTTATAGCATTTTAAAAGAAAGACAAATCAACACATTTATTTGTCAGATAAAAAATCATAAATTTGTGATTCAAAGACCTTGACAAATTACGAATTGTGAGAAATTGTCCTCTTCTTTTCCCAGTCTGTGCCCACGGCTAATTGCAACTGTGAAAGTGTGAAGACAAATTGTATAATCTGACTAGGTTATCTATACACAAAACCCTCAAAATATAAAAAATCCTCAAAATTTACAAAATAAGTAATGTGCAGTTTTCCATAATCTGTCATAAAGTTTACCTACCTACCTACCTACCTACCTACCTACCTACCTCCCTACCTACCTACCTACCTACCTACCTACCTGAAATTAACTGCCATTGTTACCTAAGTGGACAATTTCTCACTAGATGAAGAGGGAAAGACCTGAGACAGCTTTAATAACACTATATTCACTGTCTTACAGAAACTTGATTACTATACTAAGAAGTTTCATCCCCATAATATAAGGAAGAAATAGTTTTCTCCTGGAACACAATGTGGTGGTGTCTACTATAGTTTTCTGTTTATAAGATGACCCAATGTATAAAACAACCCCCCTTTTCTAACCCCAAATCAGAAAAAGCAGGGATCAAAAGACTCCCTTTTTGCTGAGCCTTGTGACTGCTGCTTTTCCTTGCCTTTTGAGAAGGCATGGAGCTTAGCAAAAAGGAAGGGAGCAACGCCTCCCCTTCTTTTTTGCTAAAGCCCCACACACCCGTGCCTTGCTTTTTGAGAAGGCACGGAGCTTATCAAAAAAGGCAGCAATGCCTCCCCTTCCTTTTTGCTAAAGCCCCGCGCACCCATGCCCTTGACTTTTGAGAAGGCATGGAGCTTAGCAAAAAGGAAGGGAGCAACACCTCCCCTTGCTGTTTGCTAAGCCTGTACCTTCGCAAAAGGCAGTGATAAAGAGCTGCTTTCCATGTACTGTATAAAATAACCCTGAATTTTTTCTCAAATTATTTAAGGAAAAAGTGTTGTTTTATACGTGGAAAAATACAGTATATTCTGCATACAAGAGATATCAGGTTTAATCCTTGACATCTCCAAAGTTTATTTGGTCCAAACTTTATTTGCTTTTTACTTGCTCACCAGCCAAAATTCTTAGAATGGCCTACAGAATGAGGACAAAAAAAATTGTAAATAATCCAACCAATCACAGCAAGCATGGGGACAACTGAAAATCATGGGGAAATAAAAAAGGATTTCATTTGGCATGGAAAAAAACAAAACAAAACCAGTCCCTGGCAAAACTCCTGAGCAATAGAATTTCAAAGGACAATACCAGGACAGAAAACAACCAGTTTTTGACCACTATCAATCTTAAGTGTCCAGGCAGTTTTATGTGGGGAATAGGGAACACTCAGCCACCAGAATTAAATGTCTCAATAAGTCTTATTGTTATATCCTATTGATCATTTTGTCCTAAAAACAGAGAAATCACTTAGTTGATAACATTACAGTGTTTGAATTAAGACAGAGACGCTGTTACTTCTGATAGTTGTGGTTTTTTCAGCAGTGATAAAATATTCCTCTGCTCTTGTCGTTGCAAGGTTTCACCTTGGTCGGCAAACATATTAGTCTTCTTGTGAAGTCTATAATTACACGAATCAGCTTCAAAGAAGAAGAAGAAGACAAAGCACATGGAAAAAGTGCTGACATCAGAATAGGATAGACAAGATTAGATCCTGCATGATTTCAAGTACAAATAGATCCCTCTGGGACATGGTGGATTAATATATTTTTTTTCTCCTTCAGACACTGCTCAGAATTAATGAGAATACCTGCAACAATGCTGGCAAGCTGCTGGGTTCTGGTGATGGGGTAGATACTGCGTGCCTGAACAATTGCTATAGCTATTTTCCTGGCGTGCTTCTCCTCCCCGTATGTTCTCAGGATGGACGCAAGCTCCTGTTGATCTAAAGCATTCACAACATCCGCAGCGGTGGGCATGTCAGGATACCTACGCACAAGAACAGCCAATTAGTTCACTGACGTCAGCTTTCATTGACAAGGGGTAAAGCTTCACAGCACTGAGACATAAAGTCAAACACACACACTGCATACAAGTGCTTCTGAGATTCTACAATAAGGAGAAATCATTTTAAAGCAGAAATAGCTTCTATTTTGTAAATTTTCATATTATTTATGTATATTGATGCTTTTTCTCATCACCTGGACTTTCTAATATTAATCAGCTACAAAGAATTGTTGAGACCTCTTTCTATCATTAACTCTACATTATAAGAATCTGATTAAAAAGAGCAGAACTGAAGCTCAAGTATAATTCAAAAAGGCAAACTACTGCTAAGATTGCCTTTACTTGCATAATCCCAGAACACAAATTCATTTTACAAGTTTATATTTTCCCAAAGACATCACATTGCTTGATCTATTTCCTGATCAAAACGGAGAACCTTAATCTCTGTGACCTTTTCTTGCACATCTGGTGTTGTGAAAAATGATCTTCTGTGAAGAAAATGTGAGGTACTTAATGATCACTTAAAGGTCTCACAATTCAGAAATACTACATCTTTCTAAGAATCACAGTAGAAATTATCAACCTGGATAACATTCCCAGAATACAGGGAATGGGCAACATTTTTTTCATTTATGTTTTCAAGAAATACAAAGACTGCTATGTATGTATTGCTTCTGATTGAGAGTCTGAAGTGCTGCTTGTAGGCAAGGCTACCACATGTAAACACTAGAACATCTGAACCTACCAGAGTTATTACAAAAGGGCAATGCGAAAGAGATAACTTAGTCATCTCAATTTTATAGATGTTATTGTTCTACAAGGACACTGCCATGCAGACTGTTTTTTTTTTTGTCATACTACAAGTCAGAAATGATTTGATGATACTATATTATTATTAGTTTTATAGTTCAGGAGAGTTCTAGAGTAATAAGGAAAATGCATATGCAAATTTAGATATGCCACAAATTACAGAGTAGAAGCTATTGTGTGAAATGGAACTGGCCTAAATCTCGTTTGATACCCATGACCAGACTTCTATTCTACCTAGGGAAACCTGGCTTAGAAGTGTTCCCTAGCTCTTTGGGACAGGACTCTGAAGTGCCTTGGCAGCTCCAGCCAGGAAATCATCCCCACCCCCAAAAAAGTGAAGTATGCTGCTTATATTCTGTTCCATAGTGCTTAAAGCACTCTCTTGTGGTTTACAATTTAATTATGCAGACCATGCCTTGCCCCCCTCCCACCCCTGCAAGCTAGGCACTCAGTTTACTGACCTTGGAAGGCTGAGTGAACCTCAAGCTGGCTACCCGTGATTGAAACTAGGCTGTGTTCAGAGTTTTGGTCACAATATTGCAGTTTAATTACTGCGCCACAAGGCTTCTCTTTCCACTGGATTTCACTCTTTAATGATATTGATTTCCTTTTCTTTTTGATATATTTTTTAAAAAGGCAACAAAACACAACCCAAAGATTCAGGTTGAATGGCAGCTGCCAAAGCAGTTCAAGTTTATACTGGATGGGTTTAAAACTGTGCAATAACTACAAAAATAGTATTTTTTTGGGGGGGGGGAACGAAACTGAGAAAATGAATTCTTTAATGAATGGATGCCCAGTGATGGCTAGAACTAAATATTTGCATTGTCTCTTTACTCTAATTCTTTTATCTAATCTTCTTTAAAAACCACCACAACAACTCTCTTTTCAACAGTATCAAATAAGTCAGCTTCAACAAGGCTACAGCTTCTTTATTTCTGACGCAAAACTGGTTGTGTTTTGAGTTACAGAAAATCTACCATGTCCTTTAGTAATCTATTAATACTTAATAATTCTCAATGCTGAATACATATATCTTGATTTCAAACTGCATATATTTAGTATTTATAATAATATCCTAATAATGTCTTAGGCTATTATGGCTTTCTTGGATATAATAGCCTGATTTTGGTATAAACATACTTTCTTGCAAATTTCTTTGGTTAAACCATTCTTACAGCTGTCTCAAATTTATTTATTCATTCTACCTGTATTATAAATCTGTGCACAAAATGAGACCACTGCTCTCCTACCATGTAACAATATGTATTAGGTACAGTATTATCAAAGTAGAATCTCTAGTTTGTCTATCAGAAATCTTCTAATGGTTTCCTGACCATTTTCTTTTACTCAAGAACTGAGGGTTTGTTTGTTTTTTCTTTTCTTTTTTCTTTCGGTGAGAGGACTGAAAGTGGATTGTTTCTACTTCTAGTTGTGTCATGATATCAAATATTGACAGCATAAAGCAGTAGAATCTGGGCACATGGCATTATGTTTGATGATAATGATGATGACCTTTATTATGGTCACTCACCAGCAGATATATCCAAATATAACTATAATACAAAAATACAATGAAAAGTAGCATAAGGTAGCAATAATAACATCATATGTACACAGTCTCTTACAATACAGTGGTGCCCCGCAAGACGATTGCCTCGCGGGACGGAAAAACCTGCTGGACGATTGGGTCCAGCGAGGGTTTTGGTGCCTCACAGGACGATTTTAACTATGGCCCTTTTTCGCAAGACAAAGCCCTGGGAGGCTTCTGACAGTGGTCCTTTGCTGGTGGGCGGGTGGGGTGTGGGTGCTCTTCTCCGCTCCCACCCCCCTCCCTGCCTCACAGCTGATTGGCGCAGGGTGTCAGAGGCTTCTCTGGGCTTTACCAGCAGGTAAACAGGCAGTGGAAATGCACTGGGGAAGCCTCTGAAGTGGCGCTTTGCCGGGATGGTGGTGGGGTGGTGGGGGCAGGGGCAGGCCCGCCTCCCTCCGCGGCAAAGCGCCGCTTTCAGAAGCCTCCCAGGGCTTGGCCAGCAGTGGGAAAGTACCCGGGAGGCTTCTGAAAGCCACGCTTTGCCTGCAGGGGGTGGCGGGCCTGCCCCTGCCAACACCCCAGCAAAGCGCAGCTTTCAGAGGCTTCCCCAGTGCATTTCCACTGCCTGTTTAACTGCCGGGCAAGCCTGGGGAAGCTTCTAAGATCCAGCGCTGATCAGCTGTGAGGAGGGGAGGGGGAGAGGCTTGAGCGGAGAAGAGCACAAAATGGCTGCCGGCTCCCTGCTGAGTGCCAGCTCTGAGCTGTTTGGCACTCTTTTTCCTGCTGTTCTGAGGTAAGTGATTAATTAAATTTCAATGCATTCCTATGGAAAACCGTGCCTCATAAGACGACATTTTCGCTGGATGGCATTAACCGTGGAACGGATTGATGTCGTCTTGTGAGGCACCACTGTATAACTAAATAAGATGGAGCCTCCTTATGGTTGAGTTTGGGATGATGGGAAGGTGGGCAGAACCATCCCCGACATCAAAGCTGTCCTCAATATTTTGTCCTATAAGCTCACAGGGATTTTATCCTTACAATTCTTCATAATAATGTGTCTTTTTCGTTTATTGTTGTGTACACTTGCCAGGTTATATTCAACTGCAGAATATAAGCATATAGTACACAATTTAAATGGGCTTAAAATCACAGAAGCAAATTAAAGCATTTGCCACAAAGTCCCTACTAGGCAACTACTATCTATAATTTTCAAACAGACTATGCCTGGAAGAAATTTTAATATACAAATTAAAGAAAAGTTTATTACAGTTCCTGGAAAAAAAATCATCATTGGTCTAACAGACCTATCTTTTAACTTGAGGAAAAAGATGCTTACATAGGAATGACCTCACCAACATTTTCAAGTTTTACAAACATACCAGTTCTCTACTGCTTTATTATTATCCACTGTACTAATGTTAAATGCAAGATTTAGAACCAATACTATTATGAACATCTGCTGTGCTCCAGTGTAGAGGGGTGAAGAATAGCTGTGCCTAAATGAAGACTTTAAAAAAATCTATTTTGCCGAAAGACATATATGGGAGTGTGATCACAGCTCTGAAAAGGAAATTAAATTCAACATGCTGTTGAGAAATTGATTTCTTGTCAGAGGAAGAAAAGTTTTATCAATATGTACCTGTCACCATCCATCCTCATGTCCAAAGGGCCATCTCTTTTTAGGGAAAAACCTCTTTCTGGAGTATCAAGTTGCATAGAAGAGCAACCAGCATCCAAAAGAACGCCATCAAGACTATTTGGCTGCACTCCAGCTGAAGTTAACAATGCTTCTGCTTGACTAAACTTTCCAAGCAGTGGTTGGATTTTCTTCCTACAATAATAATGGGTGGGGGGGGAGGGAGAGAGAGAGAGAGAGAGAGAGAGATCTTCATTACAGGAACACACATACATATCCCAGTATCCCGATAACAATATTTACACATCATTTCATCCTGGATTCTTCGGCATCTAATCCACAATTCTATTATCAGAATCAACAGAAAACAACATTGCCAGCTTCTCAAATAAATTATTTCAGTAGGGTGTACAGAGCATGAAAGCTAATAACAGATTTGGGGCATGTAGCTTGAGCAGAAAGATGTAATTTTTTTGGGGGGGAGGGTATTTTCTTTTTTTTACTTGCTGCAAAAAAAGCTGCTAACACAGTGGTTCCGATAATTTCACTCACAGCATGCCCCATGGATTAGGAGCTCTTTCTGGAGAGTGTACATACAACAACTATAAAATATAATGTTCTTGTAATGAATAGTTAAACACATTGGGACCATCACTATGCATAACGATAGATCCACTGGAATCACTCCTTTGCATCTCTTTGCACTCAGTCACAGTTTTCCAACAAGCTGTCTCATACAACTTTTTTGACTAGTTAACACCACACCTCCGTTTCTTCAGTGATAAAGCTTCATTATACTTTTTAGACAATTTTCATTCCACTCACAATAAGTCAAAAATACTTGGCAATAGGTAATTATTTATGGGAGATTTTAAATTGCATTTAAATATTAAAAACATCTTCAACTCATATAATAAAGTACAAGAAGGTTAGATTACTGTGCATAATCTTAAAATAGAAATAGATGCTGAATATAACATGTCACAAGACAAGGAAAATCCTTATCCGCTGACTGTGTGCCAGTGTCACAACATGAGTTTCTTTTTCCTCCCAGAAAGGATTCTTAACCATCTAATGGAAGTAATGGAACCACTCCTCATCCCACAACAGGCTGACTTTAGACCAGCAAAGCAGTGTACAGAATAAATCTAATGGAACAAAATGAGAATGACTTAGAAACTACAAAAATCTCTGAGGTGGCCTTTATTGACCTCCTGGCCATGATTCATCACCAAGTACCCTTCAAAACTCATACCTAACCAAGGTTTATAAGAAAACTAATGTAATAGTTACTCTTTTTGCAAAATCACAGTTTTCAACGGCTTTCAAGATTAATGCAGTTGATGGAGGACTCAAAATAATGATATACAAGTTCCTCTTCTGCTTAACACCTATACATCACCAATGAACCATATCCACAAGCCATCAGAAATTTTCTTTATTTTGAGGATCTCACACTTGCTGCTCACTTGGACAATTTCCAGATGATAGAACATCTTCTAACAGGTGCATTAGCAGAATTTGGCATGTATTATGATACAAAAGAACATAAACTCAACCTTCTAATATTTCTAAGACTCCAATATGTGTCTTCCAGCGACAGAAACAAGCAGGTGTCTTGAAAACATTAAGTTACATGAAAGACAACCCAACTAGATCAACCCCCCCCCCCATATCCAAGTGTTACTTTGGATTGCACACTGACCTAGAAGAAATGGTCAAAATGCAAAATAAAAGCTCTCCACTAGTAACAATATTATTTGAAAGCTATTGGGAAAGTGTTGGGGTACACAACCACAAACACAATGAACAACAACCTTGGCCCTATGCTATACTGCAGATGAATTCACCAACCCAATGTAGTATAGTTTAGCCTAGGAAAACAAGTAGATGCCCCTTTCAAATTAAAACGAAGAAAGAATTTTCTTAGAACATCTATGAATCTCAAAGGAATAGCAGAGAACTCAAGACATTGTCAGCATTTGCAAACTTGGGTCTGTTATTTTCTTTAGGGAGTCAATCCATCTTGCACTTGGTCTTCTACTCTCCCTGCTTTTCTTCCACCTTTGCCACCATTATTTATTTTCTTTTCCAGAGAATTTTTTTCTTCTTATGAAGTGTCCAAAGCAGGACAATCTCAGTTTCAACTTTTTTGCCTCCAGAGATAGTTCAGGCTTGATTTGATCCACTTGTTCATTTTTCTGGCAGTCCAAGTTTTCCGCAAAACTCTCCTCCAGTGTCACACTTCAAACAAATCAGCTTTATTTACTTGATTTACTTTCACACTCAAACATGGTGATTAGACGTAAGTTAGTGTACATGATATTGGTCTGGGTCTCCAGTAACACATCCTTACATTTAATAATCTTTTCTAGTTCCTTTATTGCTGCCTTCCCGAGTCTCAGTTTTCTTCTGATTTCCTGGCTACAGCCTCCATTTGGATTGTTAACTGGACCAAGGTATACAAAATCTCTGATTACTTCAATTTCTTCATTGTCAATATTAAAGTTGTATTGTTCTTCTGAAGTTTTGATTTTAGTCTTCTTAATGTGCACCTACAGTCCTTCTTTGGCACTTTCTTATTTCACTTTCACTAAAAGTCATTTCAAATGGAACCAGTTACTTTAGGAGTTGGTGAGTGCTCCAAAACTGGAGGTATTCAAGAAAAACTTGTATAATCACCTGGCAGATATGCCTTGATTGTATTCCTGCACTGAGCAGAGGGTTGGACTTGATGGCTTTGTAGGCCCCTTCCAACTTCACTTTTCTATGACTCTATGAAATCATTGCTGCTTTCAGCCAGTAAGATGATGTCATCTGCATATCTTAAATTATTGATGTTCCTTCCAACAATTTTCACTCCTCTCTCATCTCAATTTAGTCCAGCTTTCCATATGATACGTTCTGTGTACAGGCTGAACAGATAAGGGGACAGAATCCATCCTTGTCTGACAACAAGAGTTGGCCCATTGAATAAAGAGTATTTACATAGGAATTGCCTCACCAAATCACTACTGATTCAATGGGTCTACTCCAGCTGTGACTTACTACAGGGCTTTTAGCTGTTCATTGATGCAGGAATAAGAATTTACAAGATATGGTTTGTCATATATGAAGAACATTATATTTAGGTACAATGTATACATCTCACAGGCTAGGGTATCAGTTTTTGATATATTTATAGCTTGTGTGTGTGTGTGTGTTCTGTGCTGTCAAGCTTGAAATTACTTATAGCAACCCTAACAGGGCTCTCAAGGGAAGTGAGATATTTAAGGACTGATTTTACCACTACCACCCTTCCATTGAGTTTCCATTGAAAAGGGGGGATACAAACCCTGTTCCCCAGAGTCCTGGTCTGTTGTTCTATCATTACACCACATGGGAATCCATTTATAGTTTACCTACAGGTAATTATGCAATCTAAAGTCACAGACGTTTAAACCTAAGTGTGGTAAACCCTCATTTTGGCTTCAGAACACTCTTAATACTCACATAATATGGTTTCTTCTTCAGTAAATGAGAATCTTGATGGCTTTGGATTTTCTGGAAACTAATTTATCCTCAGAAGTAAAACAGCATTTGTTATTTCATAATAACAAAAATATTCCTCAGGACCTTACCTGAACAACTGCCAGAATATGAGTAACTAAGAAAAATTCCTCTCATGCATCAACTATCCAGAGGAAAAGTCTGGATGCCAGTCATAAAAGGCTTATTCTTAATGCCCCCTAGATAACATGGATAGCATACCACCGTTCAGTGGTACATTTGCTGCAAGAATCGTAGTGATGTAAAATTGTTTTAATAGGAAAATATTGTGTCACAGATGACAGAATATGCTACATTTATGCAAAAAATCTCATGAAGCACAAATTCATATCCAAACACCACAATACTCTGCAATTTAAGATACAATCACATCCTGTAACTATGGTCCGGTTAATCTTTGTGTTACTCCAGTTTCTGCCAGCAGTCATCAAACTCTGAATATAAAGAAAATGGATAAAGGCAAGATTTTTTTTAAAAAAAAATTTAATTTCTTTTAATATACAGTATACTGCAAGGGAATCTCATATTCTCAAATTTAACAACTGCCATTCATGCCTTCCTAGTGCAGAATGAAGAACTAGAGAAAACTTAATTTCAAGTGCCTATAGACAGCACTGTATAGTTTAATAATACTACAACCTTCAGACAGCTAGAATATAAATTATCCTGAATATATGGTTGAAATTATTATAGCAACAAGTTAAAGGAATATATAATCATATGCTTACCTTTGAGAGACAAGACATACATATGTACTATTCAGGAACAAACATATGTTTGCTTCCACCACTTTTCCTTGGAGAAGTGTGATGTTAATGATCTCATATGCAATGCTAGGTTCTATCCTCTTCTTCCAATGTATTGAATTAGCCCCTTTTTCTGAAATAGGGGCACAACCACACGTTCAGAAAGCAAAATTTGACACAAGCCCTGATGCAGTTTTAAAAAGTGTGTACTGGTGCCATTTTTAAACCACACAAGGTATTCTGCCCTTGCCATCCAGTGTTGGGAGACATGCCAGCTACTGAAACTGCCAGGTTTGAGCTTAACATATGGCAAAAACTGAGGTGCTGCAGCTGCCCATCAGGCAAGAACAGCATCACTGCCCGACCAGTGCAGGTGGCGGTGGGCATCCTAGCTACCTCAGGTTGGCTGGCAACATTGTTTTGGCCAGGAGGAGCTTCAGATACTCTTTTTTTCCACTTATGGCAATCAGGTTAAAACTGTTGGCACTGTTTACAGCACCAGAAAGCCTCCCGCTGCTGGCCACCCCGCAGGCTGGGGATTGTTCCACAACCTGTTTTGTGGTGAAGATTTGCATTAAAATTGGATGTGTAAAACAGGCACTTCCACACTGTTTTCAGATAACCCACAATTAAGAATTTAGTGCAGGTCATCTGAAATGAGTAGTTCCTACCACAGGAGAAAAAATCTTGGGAGGGTCTTATTGATGCTGTTAGTTTTAACACTGCACACCAATGTATACGACACTCACAGTAAAATATAAATAGAAGCAAATACAATACAAACACAAAGAATACATAGAATAGGGAAAAAAACCACACCATTAGCTAACAAAGCAACACATAGTTACATCTTTAAATGTGTGAGCACATTAAAATAAAAGGTCTTCAGGGACTTTGAAA